TTATTTATTTAGTTATAAATAAAACAACAATTGAAACTAACTAAAAATAAGATACAACTTTTAAAATTATAATCATTAATCTTTCTAATTATTGTTTTTTCACATAATGTTGTCCATTGAAAAAAAGAGAGGATGTGAAGGGAGAGAAGCAGAGATAATGTACGTATGCAGACGTCACCTGAACACATACATGACGTGTGAAGGGGTGGGAAGTGGGTCTTTTCCATTTTTATATTGTTAAGATAGCAGTAGAAAATAATAGGTACACCATGTTTAAGTTAAAATAATCGATGGTTAGGTGTATTATGTAATTTCTTTTGAATTTCTAGGATTTATTGTACACTACTGGAGAAACCATCTTTGGTCGGTCTTCCAAAACCACAATAGTCCTAGTTCGAATAGAAACCGGGACTAAAGATTATTTTTAGTCCCGGTTAAAAACTTTTTGATCTTTAGTCCCAGTTGATGTTACCAATCGGGACTAAAGATCATTTCTAATCCTGGTTCGAAGAAGTTATTGGGTCGAGTTAGGCCCCAATTATCTTAGATCTTTAGTTCGGTTCTTTATACCAACCGGGACCAAAAATCCTCTCGAGCGCACGTCGAGTCCTCTCTTATCGATAAGACCGATAAAAACCATTTGCACTTCCTCTCTCATTAAAAACCATCTCCACTCTCTGGCCTCCTCGATCCCATCTCAATCTCAGGCGTTCTCCTTCTCGATCGGCCTCCTCTATCTGATCCCCCTCTCCTCTCCCCTTCCTCCCACTTCCCCACTCCTCCCCCTCCCTGCCTCCTCCTCCTACCACGGCCTCTCTGGGTCAGCAGCGGCCGGTCGAGGTCGGCGGCGGCGGCGGCCGGCTGGCCGGGCTGGGGAGGCGCGCACGGCGGCCTTCGGAATTGATTTTCTTTTTTTGAGGATTTGTGATGATTGTTTTTGAGAATTTGTTATGCGATTAAATGTGGGAAAAAAACCAATTACACAGTTTGCGTGTAAATTGCGAGATAAATCTTTTAAGTCTAATTGTGCTATTTTTTTTGACAATGTGGTACTATAGTAAACATTTGCTAATGATGGATTAATTAGGATTAATAAATTTGTCTCGCAGTTTTCTGGCGGAATCTATAATTTGTTTTGTTATTAGACAACGCTTAATACTTCAAATGTGTGTCCGTATATCCAATGCGATACTCCAAAACAAAATTTTTTGGGAACTAAACCAGGCCTTACTAGATTTCTTTGTGGAGGTTCAGTATTCTTTTATCTTTATTAATTTATAATCGGATGAATTCATATTGTTTTAATTTACTTAATACTATCGTTCTAATTTATTTGTGATGGTTTTTCAAAATTTGTGATGTAATTTTTTTTGGAATTTATGATGAATTTGATCTGTGATTTGGAGATGATTTGGGGATTTCTCTGTCAGGTGATGTAATGATTAGTGAAATCCATATGAAAAAAAAAACAATTAAAAAAAACTGCCAACCGCTGGTTCTGGCTCTAGCATTTTTAGTCTCGGTTAGTAACACCAACCGGGACTAAAAATTGATCTTTTTTGTTCCGGTTATTTCACCAGAGACTAAAGATTCATACTCCCGGTTGCAAAACTGGGAGTATAGGGGGTTACAAACCGAGAGGAAAGACCATTTCTTCACTAGTGGTAGTGTCACATGGTGGCTTAGGTGTGTTCGTAGGAGTCCCGCGTGGTGGTTTGAGAGTATTTTGTGGGAATTTTAGTTGACTTTTAGCATATAATAGATAGATATGGCATGCAAGTTGTCGAAATGTGCCTAATATATATCTATATGTTTCTTTAGGAAATATATTTCTACAAGTAAAATTATACTGGTGTAAACTACATTTTTCTGATATTGTAGAACTATTTTAGTTACATGCCAGTGAAGTTATTATATAGCATGAAGCAATATAATAATGGTCACATTCGTTTCATAATTTTTACAAGCTAAATTATAGTTAAGAGGTGTATTAAATTCTAATTTGTGATTTTAGTCATAATAATGACACAATAGAACATGTAATTTCATCCGATAGCAAAAAAAAAAAACTTCCTTAAAAGAGAAACAGAGAGGAGTTATGTACATGCGTATGCAGGGGAAGAAGGGATGCCTCTTTGTAAGAAATAGAAAAATCAACCTAATCCAAGTATCCAACGGCTTGGAGTGATGGGCCTGTTAATATTAATTTTTGTGAAATCAAAGGCTAGGTTTTTTTTCTCAGATTTTTTCTAATTTATTGGAGCGCCACGTGGCATTATAGGAGCATTTATATAAGCATCATGTGACAGCTTAGAAGCATTTATAAAATTTTTCACGGACTTTTACTATATAATAGATAGATTGGATATCATCGATATAATTTAGCGAAACATATTTGTAGAATTATTTAAGGTGACATATAATATGCCAACTGGAGATGAGGGGAGAGAGAGAGTACGTACGTACAGAAGGCCAGGAGGGGAACTTACAGGTGGTGGGGACCGGTGTGGAGAGGAGGATTTTATTTATTTTATTTAATCTAATGGTTAAAAATGTTGGACCCACCAATTTAAAGGAAAATCAACGGTTAGATTTTTAGATTGCCACTTGGCGTCTTAGGAGTGTTTGTAGGAGAACACGTGACGGCTTAGTAGCGTTTGTAGGCAGAATTATTTAAGGTGACATATGATATGCCAACTGGAGATGAGGGGAGAGAGGGAGTACGTACGTACGTACAGAAGGCCAAGAGGGAAACGTACAGGTGGTGGGGACCGGTGGAGAGAGGAGGATTTTATTTATTTTATTTGATCTAATGGTTAAAAATGTTGGAGCAACCAATTTAAAGGAAAATCAATAGTTAGATTTTTAGACTGCCACTTGGCGTCTTAGGAGCGTTTGTAGGAGAACACGTGGCGGCTTAGTAGCGTTTGTAGGAAGTTTAATGGACTTTTAGTATATAATAGATAGATATGTCTGTGAGCGCGCGCACAACCTTGTGCTTATTTCCTCTCAAAATTTCATGCACCAAATATTGTTTCTCAACGTGTACTGCTTCAGTTATAAGCAAGGTAATGAATAGTCTTCGTAGCGCCCGCAATAGTGGCCGCTTTAGCGGTAGCGGACCTCTACCGCTACCGCTACAAGGTAGCAGACTGCTACAAGGTAGCGGACTACATATCTCGTATTGGAACTTAGTGGCCGCTATAGCGCTTCGCGACCGCTATAATAGGCCGCTATTGGCTTTGTTAGATCGCTATAATGCTTAAACAGTGCGCTTCATGTATGGATAGAATAATTTAGCATTATTTGTCTTCTTTATATATATATATATATATATATATATATATATATATATATATATATATATGCTATTTCATAATTTTTATGTTATGAAATATAGAAGTAATTAAACATGCCGTCTAATTATAAATTTTAAATGAAACTTGTTGTTAATATTGATATACAATTCAAATTTATGGTTATTTTTTTTAATTCTGCTATTGGAACTTAGCATTCGCAATAGTGCCCGCTATCAGCAATCTGCTACCCAGACACTAATCCGCTACAAACCCGCTATACGCTATTTATTAGCTTGGTTATAAGTGATTATATTGTTAGCCGTTGTTTACAGGTGAGAAGACATGTAAAAGTGAAGAGATTGCCTGATGTATCATAATCAGGCATATATATATTCATATACATACATACATATATATACATATATATACATACATACATATATATATATATACATACATACATATATATATATATATATATACATACATACACACACACACACACACACACATATATATATATATATATATATATATATATATATATATATATATATATATATATATATATATATATATATATATATATATATATATATATATATATATATATATATATATATATATATATATATATATATATATATATATATATATATATATATATATATATATATATATATATATATATATATATATATATATATATATATATATATATATATATATATATATATATATATATATATATATATATATATATATATATATATATATATATATATATATATATATATATATATATTAAATTTGTTTGGTGCTCCATGGTGCCCGGGCACCATTGTTGAAATTGAGTATATACCCAATTCAAATGAGCATGAAACTTTTTTAATTATTTAGGTATTAATATTAACTACTTTACTAACTAGTTGAAAGCAAGTTTGAACTGAATTTGAACTTGTTTTTGTTAGATTTTGATTCTAGGTATATAGCATCCATACATATAATTAGTTAGGTATGTAATCATGGATTGTGAAATAAAGTTAAATTTGAGTTGTTTTGTTGATAGGTATAGGTATGAATCGAATTCTTATAACTAGGTATATACTCACAATTTGAAAATTTTGAAAAATTTGAGTGATTTTGTGCATTTGAAACCATGGTGCCCGGACACCATAGTGCCCCATATGAGTGTGCTCTATATATATATATATATATATATATATATATATATATATATATATATATATATATATATATATATATATATATATATATATGGCAGCGCTAAACTACGTACGTAATAACTAATATGCTCACCTCACAACCTAACCCCCACCCCCACGCCTTTCTCTCTCCTACCCCCACCTTCTATTCCCGTACTTTTTTTCTGGTTCCCACTAACCCACATCTTTCCTGTGCAACTTCTCTTGGTAACTTCTCCAGGTAAATAAATTACTCTTACTGAGTAAATGAGTTGCTAATAAAAAAGACTTAGCTTTGGTAGCCGGATTTCTTATTAGCCCAATGGTAAAAAAATTACTGAGGTTGTTAACCCACGGGTAAAATAATTACTGACAAGGAGACTGGAAATCCACATTTCGATATATGGTAGTATCTATTAGTGACAATTTTTTTACTTGCCGGTGTATCAGAAGTTGGTCAACGGTAGTAATATTTTTACTCCAGGTACATTTATAATTTTAATCTCTTCAGTAATATCTTTACGAATAGTATTAAGATCACCAAAAACATGGTGATATCAGGACAATTGTATTTTGGTTCTATCACATGACCAGTAAAGAAAATTACACACGGGAGACAATATATAGACATTCATCTTGAACACTAGTATTACATGACTGTGAATGCCAGACGGTGGCATCAACGAAGTAGAAATGGGTTCTTTCCAAAAAAATTACAGTGCAGAGGACATCAGCCGCCAAGATTCTTCAAATCTCCTGCCACCGGAGCCAGTCGTTATTTGCGGCGCGCTCATCCCAAGTCGACATCTCTGCATCACCCCTGCCCTTCATGTTGGCCGCCGGCGACGAGCGTTGACGATGGCCGTGTCGAGGATGACGATCAGTTGATATTCGGAACAATTTCTTAATATCAGCCGCCGGGCCATGGTCACAGTATGATCCACAAAACCTTAGAACTTTCATGCAGTCCTGGTGAGAAAGATTTGAGAAAATTCAGAACTCCGTCAACTAAAAATGCACCAACATTTTTTCAGACAACGAGAAGCCGACGGGGAGTGCATCTGCACCAGCTCGCCCAACGCTCAGCAGATGAGCAACGGAACACAAATCAAATCGCCCAAACACACATGCCTAACAAGAGAAATCTCAGAACAGATCTAAATCCCAGTAAGAAAAAGTTCACCTAACTCAAATCGCCCCAACAAACGTGCTCCACCTGAGACTGCATCACAACCACTATACAGCCGGCAAGCAACCAGATCAAATTGAGAAGAAAAAAATCAAGCACCTTCTCTACTTCATACACCAACCGCTTCAGGGCAGGGCGTTGACCTCCATCAACGGCAGCTTCCGGAAATTTGGTCCAACTCTTCAAAGCGAGGGAACAGTGGGGGCGGCCGCCGGCATGACCTGCACGGCGAGGAAGCGGTCAGGGCAGCGGCTGTCGTCGGCAAGGAGCAGTCGGGGCGCTGGATGCATCCCCACCCATCCCGTCGCCGGTTCATGGGTGGCGCCCATCCTCCCTCTAGCTGGAGAGGGGATCCTCTGTGACATCGCCACTGCCGGCCGAGTAGTTGACGAAGCAGAGGCAGAGCGAAGGACGACGCCGACGCTACTAGATCCGGCACCCACGCGCCTCGGCATCACCGGATCCACCGCCCGAACCTCCTCGTCTCCGAGCCGTCGCTGGATCCGCCTTGCCGCCACTCCTCCTCATCCCTGAACTGCCGCTGCCGCTGCCGAAGCCGCACGCCGATACGGGCACGACTCGACGGCGGCGGCGGCGGCGCGGGGGGAGGGGAACGGCAGATCCGTAAAAAGTGGAGAGAAAGGGGAAAGTGGGTGAGTGGGTGGACGGTTTATATTAGGCAAAATTGGTTATATAGCATCGAAAGTTTACGTTTTTGGTTTATAGCACCGAAAGTTACCGGTTCACTTTAATAGCACCCAAAGTTCACCATGTTCCCATTTTTAACACTTCCGTCAATTCTCGATCGTTTTCCGTCCGTCTTGATCCAGCCACACACACGATATGACGTTTCTACCCCTCACAAGTACAAGTATAATGCATGTCAATGAGGGGTAGAAATGTCATATCTTGTGTGTGGCTGGATCAATAACCATTAAGACGGACGGAAAAATTGACGGAAGTGCTAAAAATGGGAATATGGTGAACTTTGGATGCTATTAAAGTGAACCGGTAACTTTCGGTGCTATAAAACCAAAAACGTGAACTTTCGATGCTATATAACCAATTTTGCCATATTATGGGAGAGGTAATATAGGCAGCAGATAGATTCCATGGTAAACAATTTACTCTGTAGATACGAGAGGGGGATGGGGCGCAGGTAGGCTTTGGGGGGGGGGGGGGGGTGGGGGTAGGGGTTGGGGCTGTGAGGGGGAGTATTTTAGTTATTACGCACCCTAGATCTACTACATGTATGTATGTATATATATAACTAAAAAATATATATATATATATATATATATATATGTATATATATATATAGGAAAATGGTTATATACAAGGATTACTCTTTTGTACACCCAGATGTATATATACTTCCTCTTTCTAGTGGATAATCCATTAGCATCAAATTCAACCGGTTGAATTTTTTTTTAAATTACTTCATATGTTGCTTGCATGCACGGCACGTGACACACTTGATTTTGGTAAACATTTGAACTGCGAGTGCATGCATGCAGTTAGATTCAAATTTCATAAGTACGTACGTACAGCAGTTACTTTCAACTTGCAACATATATATGTACTCTATTGAAAAACCAGTATATACGATAAAAGGCAGTTTATGCCTATGATAAAAAGCAGTATATACCGTGTATTAAAAAAGTAGTACATACTGTTTAGGATAACAGGCAGTATATACTGTTTTTGTTAACGTGCAGTATATGTACCATTCACTAGTACAGATCTTTCCATCTGTGACGGCCCATAACAAGACTGGAATTTGCGGGCCGTCACAACGAAGTAATCTCAATCGGGCCGAAGTTTCGCTCAATTGAGATATGGTCGCACAACCATGGTATATCGGCATAAAACTAAAGCCCGTCAAGGATGACACTTATCTGTGACGGGCTATAGTTGAGGCCCGATTGAGATGAGGGTTCCATATCTCAATCGGGCCCTAAAAGAAGCCCGTCACATATGAGGGTCATCTGTGACGAGCTTTAGTTTTATGTCGATATACCATGCCGATATACTTTGTCGGATGAAGAAGTGACCAAAATAAAAGTTGTAGATCCTGATGAGAGGATCAACTTTGTTTCTGACAATATTTCCATTTGAAATCATTTAGTATCTACAAATGCTATTTAGATTTGTCATATTGTCAAAATCAATTTCAAGCTATTGGAAACAAAGTTATATAGACAAATGACGAAAATAAAAGTTGTAGATCTTGATGAGAGGATCAACTTTGTTTTTGACCATATTTCCATTTGAAATCATTTAGTATTTACAAATGCTGTTTAGATTTGTCATATTGTCAAAATCAATTTCAAGCTGTTGGAAACAAAGTTATATAGACAAATGACCAAAATAAAAGTTGTAGATCTTGATGAGAGGATCAACTTTGTTTTTGACCATATTTCCATTTGAAATCATTTAGTATTTACAAATGCTGTTTAGATTTGACATATTGTCAAAATCAATTTCAAGCTGTTGGAAACAAAGTTATATAGACAAATGACCAAAATAAAAGTTGTAGATCTTGATAACCTATACAATTTTGTTGTTGACCATATTTCCATTTGAAATCATTTACTATCCAAAATGTATTATGACTAATAAAATAAATTATTATACAACAGCTATATATTTTGTACTCACAAATATAAAGACTTATCTGGAAAAATGGAAAAATAGTCATCGGTGACGGGCCTTAGTTCAAGCCCGATAGAGATTAATCTATCTCTATCGGGCATTATCTTAGGGCCCGTCATATATGACTCATCCGTGACGGGCCTGAATGTCATCTCAATCGGGCATTAGTATGGAGCCCGTCACCCGATGAGTCGTCTGTGACGGGCCCTACAGTAAAGCCCGATTGAGATGACTCATCACTCTACTATATCTAGGGTTTCTCAGATCGTATCGAAAATTTTTCTAAGTCCCACTACAGTTTCCCGCCTCCTTAGAACCCTAGCGCCGCCACCAACTCCTACTTCGCCGCCGTCGTCCTCTATCGCCGCCACCGCCACCGAGACCGCCACTGCCGCCACCGAGCCCGCCGCCGCCGCCACCGAGCCCACCGCCTCCACCGAGCCCGGCGCCGCCTCCACCGACAGGTGACGCCCTCCACCGAGCCAGGCGCCGCTGCCACCGAGCCCGCCGCCACCGCCGTCGTCCTCCCTCGAGCCTCTACACTGACCGGACCGGTCTCGGCCTTCCTCGTCGTCGCCGCCCGCGTCCTCACCAACGCACGTCGCCGACCCCCATCGAGCCCGACGCCGCCCGCCCGGCACCGACCTACCCGACCGGCATCTCCACCGACCGGCGCCGCCCTCCACTGAGCCCGGCACCGCCGCCGCAAGCTCCTCCTTTGCCGAGCCCGCCGCCGCCACCACTGAGCCTGCTGCCTCCACCGAGCCCAACGCCGCCTCCACCGACCGGCGACGCCCTCCACCGAGCCCGGCGCCGCCGCCACCGAGCCCCACCGACCGTCCTCAGGTGAGTCCTCCATCGCGCCGCCCTATGCTAACTGTGAATGACATGTCATTGAAATGTGGATGTGGATGATATGTGATTGAACTGTGAGTGAGACATGTCGATGTTGGGATGAAATGTGGTGCATTTTTGAATTTTGTGATAGATGATTGTAGAGATTGATGAAATGTGGTTCATTTAACTTTATTTATACGCAATGCGGTTCATATTGGGATGAAATGTGGTTTATTTATGTTGGGATGAAATATGGTTTTTTTATGTTGGGATGAAATGTGGTGCATTAATGAAACTATTGTGAAATGTGGTTAATTTTATTACTGTGAGATGTGCACTTTCGTTTATTTATACATGGTGCATTAATGAATTTAGTAAATAGATGAAATGTGGTTCGTTTTATTACTGTGAGATGTGCAATTTCGTTTATTTATATGTTTCATTTATTTTTCTAAGTGACATTAAATTCATTGTAATAGATTGTAGTACTCAATTGTGTATTTTTGTTATTTAGAAAAAAAGTAGACGATGTCTCAGCAAGGCGAACCAATGTTGACGACAACTAGTGGGTCCTCAAGGGCACGTACTCCTAGGACAGGGAACAAAATCCCTAAGGAACGGTTTCGCATAACAGCGGTGGACGCTGTAGGGTTGCCGACATCTCCAAGGAAAATATTGAGCTGATTTAGGTCTATCTGCGGGGTCATAGGGAGGCAGAAATTCAGTATTCTTCAAGATGACATCAAGCTCGTGCCGGCCGCAGAGAAGGACATTGCTTGGCTAACGTTCAAGGAGAGCTTTGATTATCCTTCGAAGCATGAGGACCGTCTTAGGCGGGCTGCTTTCAAGGTTATGGGCAATGCTTGGAAGAACTTCAAGACTAAGCTAGTCGGCGAGTTCGTCTACAACCCGGCGAATCCAGATCCAAGAGATAAATTTACTTGGATCACGGAACAGGTCTGGGAGGAATTCCATGCGAAGAAGTCGACCCCCGAGTCCAGAGCTAGAAGCGAGGCATATCGCTTGCTCCAGACCAGGAACCAGCATCTGCACCGGCTTGGCACCGCCGGATATGCCGGTAAGGAAGAGGAATGGTAGCGTGAGGATGAAGAAGCGGAGGAATCGTGTACACTGCTCGTGTTTGGCGATATCCCACACCCTCGGGCTAGGAACTGGGCCAGGGCCAGGTACTAGAAGAATGACGATGGCACAATCTTCATGCCAAATGCAGAAGATCAACGAGTATACGAAGCTATAGTAAGTGTCTAGTCAAACTAGATGTTCGCATTGTTTCCCATCGTGCAGTTTATTTAACCCCACTAAATTGTAATGCAGAAGGAGTTGGTTGCCGAGCAACAAGCCTCGCAAGAGGCCTGCTCTCAAAGACGCGAGGATGACCTCCTCACGAAAGCGTTGTGCAACAAGGAACACCGTGGACGGACACGGGGCGTTGGGTCTTCTGTTCCCTGAAAGTATGGATTTCCAGACTACGCGTGGCAGTACAAGAAGCGGACTTCCAACAAGGCGGAGAAAGATGCACGCCTTGAAGCCAAGATCCGGGCGTCGATAAGAGCTGAGCTGACATCTGAATTCGATGAAAAGCTCGAGTCGATGAGGGCCAAGATTAGGCAAGAGATCCGAGAAGAGCAACAAAACCCCCAGGCCGCCGCTGCTGCTGCGCACGAAGAGTTAGGAAGTCCCACCCAAAAACGCAGCAGTTGCGCATCAACTGAGTTGGCGGGAAATCCAACATCGGTCGACAGCGCCGTCGACCACATAACGGTAACCGTGAACTTACTCAATACATGAAAGACTTAACGAATCCATATGATATATAATATTCTAAAAAAATTGATTAATCTATCACAGGAACCAACGAGCTGCACCCTCACAGTTAGGGTGATGCCGACCTTCACGTTTCCAGCAGCCGAGGGACTTGCGTACAAGCCGACCCCAGAGACAAGAGTGCATGGAGCGCAACTCAGGGCCGACTGTGCAAAAGTTCAAGTCGATTCGGTGAAGCCCGAATACGAGCTGTTCCCTCTGAAGTATCCACCGAACGACGAGGTCCTCTCACTAGGAAATGCCCGTGGTACCTTCATCCAATGGCCCAAGGACCTCATTGAGATCAGGGTTACAGCGAGGCCAACCACTGCACCAGGCGGTCGTCCA